TCCTACCAGTTTCAGCTTCTAGAAGAGAAGACTCCCTGATATTTCAGTTTATCTTTTCCATTAGGATTATAGCTTTTAGATTTTAATGAACTTTGAGTTTTCTTTATGGCAAACTCTCTGTTAAATATTAGCTGCCTGCCAGTTTATTTTGAATCTTAAAAGTARTGTATTTCATCTTGTTGCTATCCAGAAGATGGATTGCCACTTCACACCTCCTGCAGGCAGGAGCAAGGGTAGGTAGCCTCACTGCAAGGGACAAGGAAGACCTGTTGCAGGGACCTGCTCTGAGGTGAGAAGGGTGCCAGATGAAGCAAGGCAAAGACAAATGGACTGGAGAGCCGTGAGAGACTGGAATGAGCATTTCCTTTCCCACTCAGCATAAATGTGCTGAGGTATTGCTTTGCTTGGGGCATCCTGAGCTAGATGGAATAGGACACTGGGGAAATGGGCTTCCGGGAAAACTGCTTTGCCTTGGTTTGCTCTAAATGATATAAAGGTATAGCTGCTTTTTGCAAACTAAGAACGGGGCACTCGCGACGTTTAACCTGTGTGTTGACAATGATTTCCTGTGTGCCTTTGAAGAAAATGATTATTTTGGGTGTGTGTGTGTATATATGTGTTTATATAATATACAGTTCTCACGCATACAGGCTTTTGGGGAGAGGAAATAGATTTTCTAATGCTTTGTATTTTTCCCAGCATAGTTAGTTACGTTGTTCCTGTCAATCTTGTATGTGCTTCAAGGCCATGCCCAGTGGACTCTTCTCTGATTCATTTATTTCTCAATGGATGGCTTTAAGTATTTAAGGGAATAACTTTTCTCAAGAAATGATTCCTTCTGCGATGTTTATGATTATTGGGAAAAATCTCATTTTCTTTTAGGCCTAACCTTTTTGAATGTATTTTTGATGTCGAAAATGCAAGATTTCATGCATGTAGTTAGATGCTTGTTGTGTCCATAGCTGTCTCTGAACAGTTTGAGATTTTTGTCTAACTTCTTGCTTTTCTGCTCCTGAATTCCTAAAAGCACCTTCCAGTTTCCATTTGGTGCTCTGTGTGTGTGCGTGCACAAAGGGAAAGGAGCCAGAGCAGCAGGAGAGCAGGAGTTGTGATGGAGGAATGCGAAAGGGAAAAAAAAAAAAGGGAGGGGGGGGGATGTTGGCAGTGAAGAAAGTAGGATTTACACAGGCATGTACGTATATGACACATCAGCCTTGCTTCTGTGATCGGCTACGTAGTTCATCTCTGCAGATTTGCTAAACAGCAGCGCAAACCAAAATCCTGCATAATTTCTAAAGAAACTTGCCTTTAGATCTGGTCTCTCAGGTGAGCAGGAAGGCAGAGGTTCCTGGGTTACTAGGTCCCATAGGAATGGTATGTTTTTGGTATGTTAGAATTATCCTACTCTGAGAGATTTGGTATTTAYTATAGTAATAGTCGGAGCCTGATTTTTCTCTCTCCACCAAGAAGCTTCATGTTTCCAAGCTTTAAGACTGAAGATGTCTTGCCCCAGGATACAGACCAGCATGATGGATAGGACACCTACTTGGAAAGAAGTCCTTCTCGCGAATCTTGGCTTGGAGCTGAGCAAAAAGGCAATTAGAAGCAGTTGCACTATTCCATAAGCCAGGCACTCAGTCAAATTACCGTCTGCTGGACGGGCTGTGGTTGTGGTCCATGTGTGTGGTCCTAGCCTGTGGCAAGCGCCAGGTGATGTGATTTAGCCGAGCTCTTCCCTGCAGCATCCAGTTGCCTCACACATGCCGCAGGTCGGCTGCTCAGCGGCCAGCCCCTATGTTAGCATCCCACAACGTGGTCCCAGCCTCCAGCTGGGCGCCCAGCGGGATGGGGTGGTGGGTAAGAGCCACTGGAAGGAGCGGGAAGCGCCAGTTGTGCCTGCGGTTTGGGAACGTTGTCCCGARATCTCACAGGACTTTGTTGCAGGGAGTTCAGTTTGTTAAGGTTGGGGTTGATGGAAATAGTTTCCAACATATATTTTACCTGTATGAGAAAGAAAGTCTCTTTGCTCTGCTAGGGGTTGACTCCATTGCCAGCAGGGAAGGCCTGTTGCCTTGTAACATGTGCTGGTGCCAAGAGCATCTTTGATCTGCTGGGAATGTGCTTTCCTGAAGGTTTCTTTCATCTGCAATGGATGCTTGTGCTTTAAACAAAGGAAACTATTTTTTGTTGTTGTTGTTGTGCTGGCCTCCTCCCTCACCCCCGAATATCTGTGGGAACTTGTTTTTTTAACTGGGTCAAACTTTTCCCCTTTGACTGCAGACCAAGCAGCASTCTGTCCTCAGGTTCTTTTGAGTCTTTTTATGGGCTGTGACCTTTCCTTAGCATGCCAGAAGGTACTGGGTGACCTGATCTCACTTGTAGGCAATTTGAGAAGCCTTGGCAGCCTGGAGCTATGTAAAACGTGGCTGCTGTTGTGGGTTTGTGAAAGGGAATTGGTGTAAAATGTCATTGGAAAAGGCACTTTGGCTCTCCTGCGTTACAGAAGGAAGAGTTGGTTGCTTCTGGAAATGTCTGCAGAAAGCCCATGGCAGCAGGAGGTGCCTTGGTCGGCCTGGGCAGCACGTCCCTTGAGTCGGAGGCAACCTCGGGTCTGGAGCTGGCAGGAGGAGCGAGGGAGCAAGGGCTTCACTCTGCAGAAACGTTGGGTCCTTTGTCCTCCAAAGCTCAGCTTGGCAGTGTGAAAGTAGCAGTAGTGATGGGCAGTGCATCCTGCGGCCCTGATGGGTAAGATCTGAGCTGTTTGGTATCGATGATTTGACACTGGCAGGCTCCCTGCAGCCTTATGGGGCCAGAGTCACAGATGCTGCTATCTCCATGTTATTTGGCATACRTGCACTGCTTTCTTTCAGGCCAGAGCTGAAATCTCCAGTAGTTGGCTGCTAAAAGTCTTTTAAACTGGAGCTTGTCCCATTCCCATCATCTCCCACAAATGATTCCAGCTTGGCATATTATTTTCCCTATTTMCAATTTTTCTCCTTTACTGGGGTTTTCAAAAAACTTGGTTGCGATGTATATGAGGTTTAGTGTCTGGTGTCTGAGATGCAGATCATTGCACATGGCAGAATGCACATGCAGAGAAATTCATGCACAGCCAGCTTTCCCTGCACAATGAAGATTTGGTTAAATGGGAATTAGGATTAATACTGGATTTGAATTTCTCATAGTTGGCTGGTAATAACCTAATCTCCTCAAAGGCTGCAGGCTGACTGGCAATGTTCAGCTGAAGGCCGTTGTTTGTAAAACTTGAAAGAAATTGAATTTTGATACTGAGAGCTTTAAACAGAGCCTTTCAAAATACTATATGCTCTTCCCATCCCTATCTCAAATGCAGCATTATAACTTCTTTAATGTATGACATTCACSTAGGCTGATAGGCCTGATGGATATTTGATGGTAATATTTTTCATTTCTCTTTGTAAGAGCTTAGAGCTTCTGATCAGTTTTACAAATGTATAAATTACATTCTGATAAGCCAAAATCTATGCAGCGGGAGTGAGATGTCCGTGCAGGGCTGCAAATGCTCCTCAGTTTTAAGTGTTCAGTTTGTTGACTGTCCTTCAGGAAAGGAGGCTCAAGAGGCTACACAAGTGTGAAGCACTTCAGTGTGATGTGGTCAGTTTGGTCCAGTCTGCTTTGATTTGTTGGTGTGCTAGATATGACCCATGAGAAATGAGTTGAGGAGTCTTCCTGCAGGTCATAAAGTGAATCTGCCTTGGACAGAAAAGGCCTGCATTTTGAAAATGCCATGTTTTAAGGTGAATTGGTTTTGTACCTCCCGATTAATTTGCCTGAAAGCTATTTTGTTTGTGGACCTGGTCTGAACTGGAAGTCAGACATCTAGCCATCTAAATAATTTMTGCCTACAATTAAATGTTGAGTAAGGTAGAGTGTTGGCAAGCTTAGCCTTGCTTTTGCAAACAGGAAAGAGTTGTAATATTTAAACATACGTTTGCTTGTGATCTCTTGCTTCCACCTTCCTCTCGGGCAGCGGTTTTGACCGGTCCTGCCCAACCTTTTAGAGCTGCCCTTTGCCAAGCATTGTCCCACCTGCCTTGCTGCTGAGTGTGGCCTGGCAAAGTGGCCTGGYGTGCTTGCTCTCTGCTTCTCCTTTGGCTTATATCAAAAGCCTGGGTCTGCTCTGCAGAGGACATCAGAGGTCTCTACAGTGTGATGATGAATGTCCCTGACAATCAAGGACTCTCTCTGAGTTCCTGAAACTGGATGGAATACAGWTATATTGACTAGACTTAATGTGTGGAAGGCTCATCCTGGCTTTGCTGATGCAAGTCAGTATCCATGTTGCCAATATACAGAAGACTTGTCTGCAGAGGTGATGAGGCACCCTTTATCCAGATGTAAATCCACTTAACCTCTTTGTTCTTAAGCTCACACATTCAACCTCCATCTTCACAAAGTTTTGTTTTGGYTGTTTTTCTGCTACTGTCTTTTGTGTTCGCCCCCTTTGTTACTGCTGCTTTTCCTCCTTTAGCCCCTTTCTGCAGAACCAGTTATCAAATGATCTCAGTAATCCTCTTACAAGAGATATTTGTCAAAGTGTTTACAGTGTCTGTCTGTTAGGCCCTCGAAGGAGGAGGTTTCCTCTGTGTTGTGAAGCTTCTTTGCATAGCTTCACTTTGCTGCTGCATCAACTTGCTCTCAGGATGTGAACTGCAAAAAACAGACAAATTTTGCCTTCCCCTAGGCTCTGAGCTAGTGATGACTTGATTAGGATTTGAAAGACAGTGCTCTATTTCATTTATTACTGCTAMCACCTCTGTCCCCTTTGTTCCCAGAGCGGATAGAAGAGTGTCAAATACAACCAATGATTTGAAATTCAGATCTCTGCCTGTCCCCTAAAGTACGGAATGGTTGAAAGCTAATGGGAAATTTCCTGGTTTAGTTTGTGTAAYGCTTTTGGAGAATTAAACCAGCCTAATTTTTTGTCTTTCAGCTCTCTTTCTTTTTCTTCTCTTCCACAGAGATTAATAGTAAGGAAAGGCGGATAGAGTGGGAACGCAGCGGAGTCCGGCACCCAGCAGTGAAGGTTAGTAGAGAGCTCCGTGAGCTGCAGCAGCACGAGGAGGTTTGTTTGGGCTAATTAAGAGCATCCAGCCTTCGCTGTCTCTAAGAGACTAGCCCTCTGCACGGGCCAAGCAGCTTGGTTTACAGCGGGCAACGTTTCATTGAAGAGCCCTGTGAGCATCTTAATAAGGCTGCTCTGCGTTGTGCTCRGTTGGAGGGTCTGGTCCATGACTTTCCCTGTGTGTGCTGTGAGGTGGCAAATACTGCTTGGAACAATGCTCTGTAATGAGACAGTGMCACTCGGGAAGGGGAGTGGGCTGAGTGAAGCTCAGGATTTCTGCACATGTAAAAATCAAGGAGCGCACATCTTAATGGTACTGTTCTGTTTTAGCTCCCTGGCTGCTCGTTAGTGGCTATTAAACCCCTCGGAGCAGAATTTGGGGTAAGGGGAATGTATGCAAACTCTCAATTTGCATCAATTTTGTTAATAACTAGGAGAAAAATATTGATGATGATGCCATAAAAAATCCTCTGTGTCACATCAGCATGATGTTTCTATTACAAATGAGAGACTTCAGCCAGCATCAGACCTTGAGTTCTCCTGTTCTGAACCATGAAGCCATTAGGGAAAGAAGAGTCAAGCTGAGTGGGCATTGGCTTTAGTGGCAGGCTGCACCCACCAGCTAAGAATGCTTTGAAGTCAAGAAATGCAGGATGAGTAGCTTGTCTGCAGCTCTAGTTATTTAAAAAAAAAAAAAAAGTTGTGTAATTTTTCTAATGGCAAGTAGACCAGTATGTGTGTGAGTAAGCTGCTGTCTTGCTGGTAGTGCCTGTGAGGGCCCCGAGTGATGGGCAGTGTCTTGGGAGCCCTCAGAGGCAGCTTCTTGCTCTCGTCCCAGTTGAGTTGGCGCTCTGCTCGGCAGCAGGACTGGAAGGTCCGATGGAGGCCCTTCCCACCACTTGAAGCTGCACTTCGGAGCTGCCCCCGCCCCAAGCAGATCTCACTGATGGTGTGTGTTGTGGCAGGGTGGTCTGGTTTCGTGTGCTAGCACTGGCAATCCCGCGTGCATCAGGCCAGCCAGCGTCACCGCAGCTCACACCGATCCGCTGGTGTTTATTCCAGCTCCGGTCAGCTCCGTCCTTGGGCGCAGATGAGTGCGGCGTGTGATGCGTAAAYGCTGCTGTGTGCTCTGACAGGGACCGTACGCGAGCTGCTTGCACAGCATTCCCGGGCTCTTCCCCACCCGCTCCCGCTGCGAGYGCAGCCGCTGCCGTATCGCTCCCGATAAGCGGCTGTGTGATCTGAAGCAGAGCCAGCAGCCGTGCTGGAGGCGGGCGGCAGTCCCATGTGCATAGTTTGGGGGCAGCTTGGTTTCTTTCCTGATAAGTCTGTGCCTCTTRCGGCAGGATAGTGCACACTCCTCTTAAAGTGTAATCATAATCCTCTTTGCAGCAGGCGCTGCTATCCCCACAGGAAGCATTAGCAGTATCGCAGAGCGCCGAGACTTCATTGTTTGCTCCTAATCTGCAAAGGGAGCTGAGACAAGGCAGAAGAAACTTTAACCTGTTCCATGCCTCGGTGGTAAATGATTAGTTTCCCACTGGATGGGAAAATGGGGGAAATTGCTTAGTTGAGATAAAGTAAGCAGGAGGCTCAGAGGCTTATCTTGCCCTGTGGAATTCGGGAAAGGACATGTCCTTCAGTTTGTCTGGCATGCCCTGTTTTTGTGTTTGGGAGAAATGAGCCTATTAAAGCTGCCCTAAATGATTGCAGGGTATAAGGCACCTCTTGCCAGGAAATGCAGCAGCTATAATTTTGCTTAAGGACCTTGAACAAAAGGCTTTGGATGCTTAATAATGTGCAAATTTGGATGGGTGGGATATGGAGAAGGTTAATAGGGCAGCCTGACTGAGGAGGAGGAGGGAGGAGCGCTGAAGACGTGGCAGCAGGCAGAGGGAGGTCAACAGGAAAAGCAGACTCTYCTCTTTATCGTGTTAAAGTGTAATTTAGTCATCACCCACAATTTCAGGATAAGCATAAACTGTGTCTGCCAAAATATAACAGTATTTCCAGCCATGGCAGTGCTTGACACAGGACTCCAAACTGGCTATTGAAGCAAAGGGTGTTGGCGCATGGCTCTTGTGCCATTTAGGTGCTGCTTAAGGCCAAAGCCAGTCCCAAGGGGACTTGTGGTGGCTGGTGGATGGAATTCACTTTGGATGGATGCGTTATGTTTCCAAAACTTCTTTCTGCAAGCTGACATTAGTAAAACCATGGCCACGCTTAGCTCTGCAGTTGTGGCTGGACTGTGATTTTCCTGGAAACTCCCACAACTGAATGGTGCAGGTTTGTCCTGGGGAAATTGCCCCTGCCTAGTTTCAGGGTCAGAAATTTGGCAGGGTGAAGGATCTGCTTGCACATGTCCTGTCTATGAAAGTTCTTTAATCCAAAAGGTGTCAAGAACAAAGAAATAAAACAAAAGYGTCTCAAAAATAGCATGAGATAAAGATCTGGAGAACTTGATTTTTATTTTTCTCAAGCATTCCTGGAGATTTTTTTAAGGGGAATGGGGAGGGAAATGCAGCTTTCAAGAGTCAAGAGTAAGCCCTATTTTTTTTTTCTTTCCTCCTTCCTTCCCCTCTAAATTTAAAAGGCAGTCAGCTTGAAAGCTTCTTAGGAATGTTGTATCTGCTCAGAGTAAGTGTGGTTTGGGAGGAGGTCCTTTTTCCTTTTCCAAAGTGACCAAACTTACTCTGAGTTTCCTTGGCAGTGCAGTAAACAAGCCACAAAACTCAGTGGCGATGGAGAGCACGTAGCAGATAGCAGCGGAGGAGGTAAAGCTGGAGAGTGGGAAGGGTTTCATGCAGGGRCATTCAGTTGAGACACCACTCATGTTTTCCTGGTACACTAATAACAAACTTTGTGATGTCTGTGTTTTTGAATATGATTGATTCAGAAGTTAACACTGAAGAAATGGACTGAAATGTAAGCTCCCCGTTACCTTCCTGTCCTTCCTTGAATTCTTAGCTTGTGCTAATTTTGTAACTTCTGATATACAAGCAGTCTCCTCTTATTATTAAACTGCTTATCATTTTGCTTTTAATCTACATGTATCCAACAGTGAAATCAAACAAACGAGCTTCCTGTCAATAATGCTTAAATACCGTTCCTATAGAGCCTCCTCCAAAGCTGTTGGCAGTGAAGGGGCTTTGGAGGAGGCACTTGGCATGCTGTGGAAAAGCTGCACTGCGAGTGCGGAGAGTGAACCAGGTGGGATAAGGAATTGGAACAGGTTCACAGTGCTCTGTCTGTGCTGGGTGCGAATTTATTGTTGATTTTGATGCAAACGGAGCTGGGGCGCTGCTAAGAGGTTTTTTGGAAATTCCTTCTGCTGCAATACTGTGGCTTGTCTGTGGAGACAATCTAGTCTCACACAGGCTTGTGCATAACTGCCTCCTTACATCTTTAAAGTATAACCGAACTGCAAATGGTTTTCACACCAATTATCTCCATCTTGCTTTTGAATAGAACCTGGAGGGGTTGAGGGGGGAGCGATTTTGCTTATCCTATTTCCTGGTGCAGCTGAAATCCAGAGCAGCAAGCTAGTGCAGAAGCTGTGTTTTTTTTCTGTGCATTTCCCACAATAAGGTCCAGGAGTGAGATTTGTGATTCAGTGTGTGGCTTTCGCATGCACACCTAGGCTGGAGATGACAGAGGTCTTGTTGCTGCCTCACTTCAGGTTGGGTAAGTGTGCTTGGCTTGTTGTGTGTCATTTTTCTTTTTAGCTAGGCTCCTTAAATGATGAAGAGCAATATTAAATCTTCTGAGTAAATAAGCAGAGCACCCTGGCTTCATCTTGGCTAATCTATTTAACCTTCCTCGGCACAAATATTTACTCTAGGCGTTGAATATCTAGGCAGCGTGATTCTGATGCTGAAATTCATGCCTTGAGAATGCTGTAGATTGACTAATCCTGCAGAATTCCAGAAATCCCCTGTCTGTATAAATAAGCTCCCTATATGAAGGATTATAACTAAACAAATGCTGTGAGTTGAGATGAGCAAAGCAGAAGTATGGCAGTTGGCCCTCTTGTTGTGCCTGCTTACTTACATATTTTTATAGGGTTATTCTTCTTAGTCTGAGTAGATGTGTAAAGAAAACTGCAAATATTGAAGAACAGTGCTGTCATAGTACTGCACAGAGAAAGTTTATCTCTGCCTTTTTGCTAGCAACTCTTCTTTTATCAGTTGGTTTTACCCAATCTGTTAATCTCTCGTGTGTGTGTGTGTGTGTGGAATAATTTCTGGTAATTTTAGTGTTTTGTAGCTTTTGTGTTTTGTGTTCCTCTCCTGTAGCTGCGCAATGTAAAGGGTTTATGAAACTGCTGGTTACCAGTAGCAGTTCTGTTGCTGAAGCTGCCTCTCTTCTCCACGCACCTAGTTGCTGTGGAACCTACAACATGCAGAATTATTGGCAGCAATGTTGGCATTTCTGAATGCCTAGTCTGTGGTGTTTATCCCAAGAATATTTATAAGCCCCAAGCATAAACTTGTCGGTCTAGCTATGATAGAAGCAAACTTCTGAGAAGCTTGGCTTCTATCCTACTACTATATTGTCCTTTCTTTTGAGGGTTTGTTTTAAGCAGCACTTATCTGGGATGTTTTAAGCAGCACTTATCTCTGGGATGTTCTGTCAATATCTCTTGATGTTGCCCTGTTACTTGTGATCATTCCAGAGATATGAAGACTCTACAACACCCAGGGAAGAGGAATTAGTTTGGGTGTTGTAAAGGGAGTAATTAAGAAGAATGGGATAAAGTTACAGAAATAAAATCAAAACTATTTCAGGGGAGCTTCCAAGTGTTATTGTTCACTAGGTTCACAGAGAGCTAATGCATGCTCCATCGCTTGGGAATTTTGGGAGTAGAATACAGAATTAAAATAAAGAGTAGAAGTCATAGCTGGAGGCAGTTGTTCCCCATTAGCAGGGAAGGTGCCAGCCAATCTCATTTGTTGCTTTTG